TATACTAGTCCTCTATATAATCACCTATATAACTCCCTTTCGGGAGTTTAGACTGTAGCTAACATAGAGTCACAGTGGTCCGACCACGTGCATAGTGGAATCTGGAACGTTGCCGAGCTGACTGTTCACGAAATGATTTCGAGCGATGGGAACTTCACTCCCTCTACTTTCATCGGAGCCAAATCGGAGCATTTAGGGACGTAAATACAAGGACCCGTACTGTCTGAATTTTGGGGAGGTCCCATCTTAAGGAACAGGTTAAGGGATAGCGATCCACTGCCCGGTCCCTGCTCACCACCAGTACACGAGGCCGGCGCTCTGCATCTCTTGCTTTGCTGCGCTCAACTCCTGCCGCCACTTTCTTCGTTGTTCTCAGTAGAGAATACAGGAATATATTACTTAGAGAGGGAGTAAACAGGGATTATATCCCCCTATTTCCTACAAAGAACCGGTAAGCGCTGGTGGACGTCAGACATGGGGCTTGCTCACAAGAAAATGGGCGCTGGGGACATCAAGGGAAGATCAGAACAATGCGAGTACTATGAGGGTCCATCTTAAGGACTGTACTGGGATTTTGTTGAGGCGCTCCCGTTCTTGCTGCTTTTCAGAATAAAACGGCAGTTCAATGCAGTCTCTTGTATGTAGGATACCCCAAAAAACGGAGCATGATGTTGACAAGCACCCCCCGGGTGGCACAAGGGAGCATTGAGTAGGAGACATGGGAGTCTCTCAAAATCATCCCTTTAGAATCCCTGATAGGCACCCACAAATCCCCTTATGATCCCCATGTATATTTGTAGGGTCCTTAGGGTACCCCCATTTTGAGAAACCTCCAATCAAACATTCCCGGAATCACTACGGTGCTGATGACAGCCTGGGCATCTACTCTGTGTAGACCTGTCGGTTGATGCCTACTTGGCGTCAGGGGAACTTGGCACGCATACTAACAACCCCTAAGGCCCTAAGAAACATTTGATAACCCCAGTTGTCCCCATTATTGACCTACTTACTAAGTCCCCCCCTAACCCGGAAACCCTAAACGGGGAACATACAGTCTCCGCTCTCTTTTCCACTTCACCCACCCCCCACGTACTAAGTTGCCCTGACCCCTCAGGCAGCAATGCGGGATTTTATCAGCAGCCGCACGGATGCCAAAAATTTGGGGTCTGGGGAGGTTGCATGTGGAGTGGATCTACGCTAGGTTCTAGACAATCCTTCTACAGGCATTCCCAGTACAGAGACAGAATATACATGAAAATTAGGTGACACAGGCTTTGTGCATTGTCTGAAACGCTGTGATCCCCAACACAAGGACCACAATTCTACGTCATTCTCATGAAAATCATGACACAAAGCCTAAACCTGGGGCCTAAACTCTAAACCCAGAAACCCTAAACCCTTGCACCCTAAATGCTAACCCTAAAACCCTAAACCTTAAACCCTAAACCTTCAGCCCTGGTAGCTCCTTCTCCAGCGATGCCAAATGTCGCGAGCGTGCCTCCAAGGCCTGGAACGTTAGTTAAAGGAGATGCTGGTAAACTCCACAGGTTTAGGGTTTAAGGTCTAGGGTTGAGTTAAAGGAGATTTTGGGAAACTCTTCTTGCTACAGAAATGAAAAGGTCAAGTAGAAAAACTTTCGAGGACGGCAGGTGTCGTATAGCTAGACACTAATTAGGATAATCAGGGCGCTTGGAAATGAATATCTGAATCCCAGTTCATCACAGCTTGCTTTGAGAGACTTTTATACAGCCACGCGGAAACAAGTAAGAACACTTGAATTCGAAGCATGCACCAGAAAAACTAGATGATATCTTGAGGGGAGCCTCAAATAAGACGTATGGTTCTGAAAGCCATAGAAATAATCATAGTCAGGACAATGACGACAGCGGTCATAACAAGAAGGACGATGAGGATAGTGTAGTTGTAATGCTCATGGCTTCTATCATGAAAATTAGTAGTAATCATAGTCAGGACAATGACGACAGCATTCATGACAAGAAGGACGATGAGGATAGTGTAGTTGTAATTTGCTCATGGCTTCTATCATGAAAACTAGTAGAAATGGATGTGCATTGCGTAGCAGCAGCAACGACAACGACGATGAGGACCACCACTGCCACGGCGACCACCACTGCCGCCGCCACCACCACCACCGCCACCACCACCGCCACCACCACCGCCACCACCACCACCACCGCCACTGCAACCGCCACAACCACCACCACCACCGCCGCCAAAACAGCAACAGCATTAGCAACATCAACAGCAGCAGCAGCAGCAGCAGCAGCAGCAATACCAACGAAGACTGGATATGGCAATCTATCACAGTCACTGTTGCTCTGTGTTCACCTTCCAACAATGTAGCCGTCATCAATCCCCAACGAGCCTGGATGATATTGTGAAAACCCATCTTCAAATAGCCCCCAGCTAAGCCTCTGCAGGACATCGGATATCAGTTGCGCTGGCCTTCTCACGCATAGACTTTTTTTGGCTTGCTGCCTCCCACCGCATGGCAAGACTCGGAACTGACAAGGTTGCGACATGGCCTCCTCTCGAAGATGGTCTAGGCTTGGGCTAGGAAGGCTTTCTGTGGAGAAACTTGCAAAACACGCAGGCTATGAGAGCTTTGCAGCTCTCGTTCTTACGCATAGAGCGAGCCAAGTTTGCGGGCCCGGGCAACTGCTTGGCACAAAAAATCACCCTGCTTACTGCAAACGAAAGACAATGCCCCGAACCCTGATGACCAAGCACCGTTTGCTTCATGCCAATAAAACCGCAAAGTTCACCTAAAGCCTAAACCCTGAACCCATTCCATCCAGCCCTCTGAAGATTCTGCGCACGCGCCACAGGTCATGGGCCGCGCCTCCAATGCTGCTTGCATTCTTTCGATTTTCTGCTTGGTCTCTTGCCGTGAACCTGTGAGCTGAATCTGCACAGGCTGCTTGCGGCTGATGTGGACTGTGGACGGAGGAAATCTTGCACCACCCATCTGCTAATGAACGGCATCAGCAACCATAAGAACCCCACATCCCGCTACGAGTATGAAACATTGTGAAGAATACAGGTTAGGTGGTGCAAGATGCTTGTCTTTTGGCCTGGCTGCAGGCGTGTGACGTCGCTTCAAATATGTCAAAGGCGCGCACGGCGTTGCGTTTTCAGGGAGCACTAAGATGGTGTATGAATTCCTGTATTGACCGTGCGATCAATTTGTAAACATCAATATCACAGTTCGTTCTATTCTCCTCCTCTTCTTATATTGCATGGCAACTCTGATTTTCGCCGTTCTTGAGCTGTGTGGAAAGCACTTTGGCGACCCTATGAGTTGACAACACATCCGAACAATACTTTCCAAAGCAGAGAGGCCCGCGAGATAGCCTAAACGGGGGGATGCCCATTTAGAGGGGCAGATCCTAGGCCTTGCTAATGCACCAAGTTGGACCAAAGGAACTTCGACAACAAAGTCATGATAGTAGTCTCTATACATCCCTCAGCAGTCCAATATTTTTGGTTTTTGATCCATTCCTTGATTCCCTGCTTCCCAGGGGTAAGGCATCGACAAAAAAGGATTTAACCCATCACGGGATTGCCAGAAAAACTGGCCAGGCGTGCGCTCCACATCGCTGGCTGCCACATCCACTTGCGCCTCATCTTACTGGCTGTTGTGAAGAAAGGAAATGGAAAGTGGGGTTTAGGGTTTAGGGGTTTAGGGTTTAGGGGTTTGGGGGTTTAGGGGTTTAGGGGTTTAGGGGTTGAGGGGGTTTAGGGGGTTTAGGGGTTTAGGGTTTAGGGGGGGTATAGGGGCGACTACAAAGATTCATTCCTCCTTTCCAACCAGTAAGTACTGGTTCCCCGACAGCTGCTCTGCTTGGGGCTGCTAGATCTTGGGTAGGCCCATCTAAACTGCAAACAGTTTGATGCAATTCTGGGTGGGAAAGGTCAATTGGAATGAATAAACAGCTGGATCCGAGTACCCAAAGTACGAAACAAAGCAAGACTATAGCATCATTCTGGACAAGAGGATATGACCTTTCAGAGCTTGAGCACTTTCCTACATGTAGTCGATGGAAGAAGTCTTGTGCTGCCTCACAAACAACAATGTTCTTAGAACTGTGTAAAGAATTTAGTATCCCAAGCGGCGTGGAGTCTAATGTCGCCTTAAGGTAACACTGCAGCCCTAAACCGAGATCCTTATGCCCTGTGCCAATGGCTCCTCAGGAGCGCACGACTTCTTCGTCCAGCTTCTTCTGTGCCTGCCGGACATATATGGTGGCTTGCCGGACTTACGGGGGTTCATGAAGTTGTCAATACTATGGCCGCCTTTTCGGGGTACCTGACAAAAAAGGGGTCCAGCATTTTGAGGAGAAGACAGAGAGACAGGCATTGTGAGGCACGGCCACCTGACCCAACTAGCTGAATTCCATCCAACCAATTAGGGTTCAGGGCTTAGGGATGAATATGGGAGGTTGTCAAAATTGTGGCTTTTTCGCATCATACTATCCTAAACCCTAAACCTTAAACTGCGACCCCCTACCAAAAAAGGGCCAATATCCGGAACATCCAATCCTGCACATGCTGCACTTAACCTCTTCCCTGGGAATGCAGCAACAGTGCGGCGAGAGGCAGCAGCTCAAGATTTTGCACCCTTCGCGGCGGAGCCATCTTCGCATATTGAAGGAGGCCACTGTCAGCTACTCGATGACAGTTAGGCCAGGAAGAAGATCCCTAGCCAAACTCTCTTCATGTTTCGTCCTCGTGCCAAGACGGCAAATTTCCAAGACACTTGCTGGCGCAGAGCCAGAAGGCGTCCCTGCAGCAAGCGGCTATCCTTGAGGCTTCCACTGCTTGTACTCTTCTTTAGCAACACGTCGTGAATCCTCGAAGAAAGCTGTTGCCTGGTCCTCAGCGCAGGCAACTGAACGGTGCACGCATGAAGTGTCTCGCCCTACTCTCTCAGCTGAAATTGTCGGTCAGTGCTTGAACTCTAGTGCTGGGCTGCCGGCGCTCTTTCGAAGCACGTGCTCCCTGCCCTGGACCAGCAAGGTGCAAGGCTTTTCCTTGGTTGCTGTTAAGGAACTTAAATTAAGTCACCATAGTGGGTATATATAGTAAATAATAGGGTTTCACCAATATAGTAACTTAATTTAAGTTCCTCAACAGTAACCCAGTTTCGTGCTTGTAGAAGTACTTGGACCGAAGGCAAAAGCCCGGGTTCAAGTTGAACCACGACGGGGCAATCTTGGCAGCCACCTGGCTGAAATGAATGAGGGTATCTGGGGCTTTCCCTAAATCAGGGGAACCTTTTGGGGATCCCCATTATAAGGATGGTAATAATTTGAGTCAGGTCTATATGGGGGTCCCCCTATGTTGAGAAACTACCATCTCACAAAAGTAGATAAATGCCAAAGAAGAGAGACCATCGTCAAGAAAACGCTGTACATAATCCCCTCCCCCTAATATTAACCCCCCCCATCCCCCCTCATATTGAATACTCCCAATATATTTTACCGTACCACTTTTTTGGAGTATTTAATATTAGGAGGGTAAACCCTAAACCCTGAAACCCAATTACTATGTACCACATTTTGGGAGAATGTGATATTAGTTTACCCTAAACCCTAAACCCTAAACCCTTAGACCCAATTAGGGGGAGGAGATTATTATAGTAGTTTCCATTTTCTTTTCCATTATCCCCAAACCCTAAACCCTAAACCCTAAACCCTAATTTTGACGAATCTGGCCTCCTGGTAGCTCAGCTTCGTCGGCACATGCTCCTTCACGTCACCGAATTTGGGCACCAGAGTCCTCAAGTTGGGGATATACTTGCTACATGAAAGGGGTTATGTATGGGGATTCTGCAGGGATTCTTAGAAATTGTAGTGCGGCACTTAGAATGTAGGCGTACCAAAATGGGACCCTAACTTTGGGAACTACCATCATCTTTGCTGGCAAGACGCTTCAGCGCAGACCTGATTCCAGCTCACCAGTGGCAACAGAGAAAGATGCTTAAGGCAAATGTTTACCACGTCCTTAGGGGAATTGGTTTACCCCAAACGACTAAACCCTTCAGTACGGGGGAACCTCAGTGAGACTTGAAAACTGCTTTGGGAGTATTGGGGATTGCTAGATTACCTACCCGAACCTGGACCACCGCCCCCCCATTTAGAACGGCATGGTAAAATGAGCTCGCTTTATGTAAACCCTGAGCATCTTCAGTGACTTTTTGCCTCCACTGCTACCACTAAGCATGCCATGCCAAGCGAGCCAGTGTTAACAAGTGACCAGTGCATTGCACAGTGAAGAAGGAAGACCGCCAGCAAGGTAAAACCAAGCGAGGAGTCCTGACAGGGCTTCATGGGACGAACAATCTCTCTTTGACAGTGTTCCCTGTATGAACCCAATAAACTCACTTGGGGGCTTGGGGGGGTATGTGAACACAGTTTGACCACAAAAAACATGCTTGAAAAAGCTAAGATGGAATATATAGGGCACCCCTTTTGACCATGTTTGACTCTATATTGCCGTGGACCTTGGCGCGGGTCTACGACTGGGCTCACGTCTCACTCCCAGTATGATTCTGAAGGTGTTAGTCGTAGCTTTTGTGTTCCTGGAGTCAAACATACCCTATACCCTGAACCCTAAACCCTATACCCTGAAGATGTTTCAGGTGGGATCTTTGTTAGCAAGCTGTGCTCGTCCGGGCTTCGAGGTTGGCACCCATTGTCCTTGAAAGCGCCCATCAACAAATGAAAGGTAAAGGCCCAACACGTTGCAGAAAACTGACCAACTCTGGGTTTAGAGTTTAGAATCTAGGGTTTAAGGGTTTAGGGTTTGGGGTTTAGGGTTTAGGGTTTAAGGTTTACGGTTTAGGGTTTAGGGTTTGGGGTTTAGGGCTTGGACTCTCCACCCCAAAATTTAAAACCCCACAAGCGTTCAGCAACAACGATATAATGGAATCTTTCCCATCATTGCGCAGCCCACGCCAAAACCATCACTGGTGGCCAGTAGGGCCAGTGGGGAATGAAGGAATGGAATTCGGGATCATTGTTTTGGGGTTTGGGGTTTAGGGGTTGGAGATTCACCCTAAACCCTAACCCCTATACGTAAAACTGCAAAAGGGAACCACTCCTCTCTTCCACACAAACCCGCCAGTAACTTAAAAGCGCTCCAGCCCTTATCCTACTGGTGCATAGGGGGGAGCGCGGGAAATGAATATAAGTACCCATTATAGGGGAATATGTGGGAAGTAGGGATCCACTCCCCCACTCTCCCAGAGGCACAGTAAGTGATGTCAGGCCTGAATGCATATGGAGTCTGTTGAGCAGTTGTACTTCTGCACAAAGGCCTCAGCTGAGCAGCGGTCTTTGGCAACGACTTTTTGGCGTTTGAAACAAAGCAGGTTGTATAGTTCGTCGAAGTACTATACCTAAACGCAAGAGATAGTCTAGCTCTATCTTGGGAACTGCAGTATCCCAATGCAGTACTACTCCGCTGCCATCAAGCTAGCGACTTTCCATGGAATCTTGAGATTGGGGCTGTCGTTGTATGTCCGCTCCAATGCCTGAATACTAACTAACGGGCCTTCCTTGCCACAGCCTCTCAGATACCCCCCTCCGTTTTGGCACATACCATGGAATGGCGGAATGTAGCAAAGAGAGGGATCAATTCCCTCATCCCTTCCTACGCACCTAATAGTACCCGAACGTGCACGACACATCCTTTCTCTTGCAAGAAGAAGGCAGATCCCAATTCCACGAGACTGTTATTGTAAAATCGCAGCTTCAAAGTTGGGATCCTGTTCTGAAAGGCGAAGTACAAGCAGTCGTACTATAAGGGTTCTACGAGGTGGCCGATAACTTTGAGAACATGGTACATGCTCTCAAGTCCTGCTGTGCCAGTATCATAGGTATTGTAGGAATATTGACGGCGCATTGTATAAGCGCTTTCGGATCATCGTGGCCTCTCTTCGAGGCACAGTCAACTTGTGTTGAATCCCTGCGCCTCTAAGCCTATGAATAATACCCACATTCGGCCTAAAGTCTGCAAAGAGTGCCTACATTCGGCTTTGCTTTGCATCTGCCTCTAAGGGTCCATTGAGGTTCACACAGCTCCCCCAATAGCCTTGTTTTTGAACAAGCTTGCACTTCAGCTCATGATAGGGTCTAGGGTTGGGGTTTAGAATTCAGGGGTTAGGGACTGCCCAAAAAGAAAGCGCAATCTTGAGACACCCCGCAAAAGCCCACCTCGTATGATCCCTCTATACTTCCTCCATGAGCCTTGTAGCCTCTGTACGATCGTTCTGACAGCCCAATGGGAGCCCATACACACACGACGCCAGTGGGCTTAGTATACAAACCTCCTGTGCGTGCGTCATGTTGGCAGCTAGATGCTTGTCACCGCTGAACAATTTCTTGCTGGTAACACTACGGGACTAGGCTATGATCATGATGATGATAACGATTAAGCTTTCTGAGTTTAGGCCTTTAGCTGGACTACACTCGGGTTGCTGATAGATGTAACATTCCACGCATCTGTCTTAGTCATCATGCGGCCAAGAGGCTGTGAGCATCAAAGCACAAGGAATGATCAGAAGCAGCTGCGCATAGTCGTCAACCACAGAGCCTGGGCTTACTTTGATAAAAACAAGAAGCAGCTTCTCCCCTTGTCCAGGATCCATTTCTGTGTCCTCCGGCTGGGCCTGTATTGGTATTTCAAGGCACATAAATTTGATGAATACCCGTATCTTACCAAGCTGCTGCTGAAACAGAATGAGGGAACGCAGCGAAGAACGCGGAAGTGGTCAAAGCAAATGATGAACCTCGGCAGTCAAGACGCTTCAGTTCTACAAAGTTCCGCATCAACCTGGCCTTTCTCAATACTCCTGAAAGGATTGGGTCCCCTACTATATTACCTCCGAAATGACAATGGAGTCCTTGTCGGGGAGAGTGTTGATCTTGAGAAAGCTTTTGGCATCCAAGGTGCACATGCGACACAAGCAGGCCTACAAGAAGTGCCACGGTGTACCTGAGCCAGGTTAAGAAACTTTACCGAAACTTACTACGCATACAGAGTGTAGGGTGCAAGGGTTACATGGGAAATGTAAGGAATTGTTGTGGAATGAGTATGAGGAATCTCGTTTGCAGTTTACATGTGGGTGCAAAAGGGGCAAAGCAAAAAATGCCCTCAGACCTGGCCCAGCTACCCGCCAGGCAAGAAGAAAATCAGAACTGCCGCAGCGATATTGATCAGCACATCGGCATACCGCCCAGAGTCCATGGGCACAAAGATTTTCAGAGCCTGCAGGACACACAGTGGCTGGTAGCTGGCAGGTCATATAAGCTACTGCCTAAACTCCTAGTATCCCCCTTAATATCCCCTATAATAGTACCCTTACTAATCCCTACACAGAGTTTAGACTATGGGTCATATTGTGAGCAGGGATTACACGGGGGACTTCTCAAGATGGGGGACCCTGGAGACCCCAAGGACGTCTTCAGGGGATCCTAATGGCTTTGTTTATAAGGTGTGTTGTGTGATATACCTATATGAGCCATAGTCTAAATTCCTTAAAGGGGGGGTTATATGGGGGATTATATAGGAACTATTGTAGGCGGGGCTATTAATTAAGGGGGATACTCAGGAGTTTAGACTATAGCTCATATTCTGATACCATCTCTGGTTGAAACTTTCAGTTCAGTGTCCTGCTGCGCTTTGTAGCCCTTGATGTGCGGGAACGTTGTGACAACGAGGCGAGCCAGATGCAGCGTGAACCAATTCGCCGCCACGGCTTCTCCTGAACCAGGCACAGAAGCTTCTGCAAGTTACAGCTGCAGGAGTTTAGTGGAACTATAATCACAGCACAGAAGCTCATGTAGGCAACAACATGAGAAAGCCACCCTAAACCCTAAACCCCTAAACCCTACACACTAAACCCTAAACAAAAGCTCAGGCTCCTATGAACGGGATCAGGAACATGGATGGAAAGCAATATTTGAAGACCTGAAGCGAAAGCTGTCGCCTTGGCTCCAGCTATACAGCCGCGCAGGTCAGCAAAGATTCAATGTGGGTTTAGGGTTTCGGGATTAGGGTTTCAAGGTTTAGGGATTAGGGTTTAGGGTTGAGGGTTTAGGGATTACGGTTTAGGGTTTAGGGATTAGGGTTTAGGGGGTTTAGGGGGTTTAGGGTTTAGGGGTTTCGGAAAATCAGGGATCCCATTTTGGGAGCCCCATAATAAGGGCACAATTGGGGTGGTGTATCTAACACGACACATAAGCGGCCCTTTTTGTTGGAAGCCTCTGCATCTCAAACATGTAGTCTCTTTGCTGTCCGAACAACAGGAATCAAGAAAAATGTCTTACTTGGCTACGCGAACACATCCTATGGCTGGTTTAGCCAAGTAAGTTTATAGTCTTCTGATGCAGTACCCTAAACCCTAAGCCCTAAACCCTAAACCCTAAACCCCACAAGATACTCACCTGTAGACAAGCCGCTGGATTTCGAAGCTCTCAAAGATGGCTTGAGCGCGGGTGAGGTCCTCTACAAGGATACCACCGTAGGTCCTCGCATGGTTTGCCACCTTGGTAGGCTTAGGGCTTAGGGCTTAAGGTTCAGGGCTTAGAGTTTAGGGTTTAAGGTTTAGGGTTTAAGGTTTAGGGTTTAGGTTCTAGCAAGCCTTGGGAATTTGCAGGCTCAGCCCCCAAATTTCCATCTCTGCCAAGCAACCGCAGTTCGATAAGCGATATATCCTCCAACCGCAGCATCCAAGAGTATGTTGAAGAGAATGGCGAATGTATACAAGACCTTGGCATCAACGCATCCGGTGCCTTCCGGCGCACATCATGCATGAATGCACTTGCTCAAAGAACTTAGCTGCCAACCATGTAAACACCTTCCTGTGTGTCTCGCAGCATGTGCCCAACACGCTGGGCCGCCTCCGCACAAAACGTGTACATGATCAGGTTCCCCAGCACCACAATAACCGTCAAGGAAACGCTCATCATGGCAGATGGCTTGTCGCCGTTGGAGTAGGAGAAGGAGGAGGCATAGAGGGCATAGGGGAGATAGAAACAGACAGTCCAAGCTGCACTGGCCATGACTATCAGCTTGACACTGGCAGAGAGCCGCTCGCGGCGCATCTGCGGGGTGATAGCCATGTTCTCCCACTGCACACCCATTGGCTCTGTGACCAGAGGTCGAAACTTCACCGTTTCTTTGCTGAAGGTGATGCTTTGACACTTCTGCAAAGCGTCATCTCTGCCAGTCTCAGTTTTAAAGACCACCAAGGCCATGGGGGAGCTTTGAATCTTGTTGCACAATGCCTCCGGGGACTCAGATGTAGAAGAGGCCAAGGGCTCAGCACCCTCAGTCTTCTTTTCTGTCTCCTTCCCTTCCGGATCCTTCTTCTCTGCCTCCTTTTCCTTCCCCTCAGATTCCTTCTTCTCGGCCTCCTTTTCCTTGCTTTCCGGTTCTTTTGTTGCCTCCTTGGCTTCTGGCTTCTCAGGCTTTTGCGCATCTCCGGCTCCTCCGGACGGGGCCGCCTGCGCTGCCAGAGCTGCCTGCACTTCTTCCGGCGGCGGCGGGACCGTGTCGATGCCCAGTATGCCTGTCAGCATCACCTTGTCGAACATGCGAAGCCATTTGGGCCGCTGCCGAGAGAAAGTCTGCACTTCGGTCTCAGCTGCATCCTTTTTATCTTCCTGCTCCCTTTTCAAGTCCTCCAGAGCCAAGACGTCCTCTTCAAGGACCTTTCGGATCTGTTCACCGTGCTCGCCCATGTGCCAGCCCACTGACACCCCAACAATTTCCTCGGACAGAAGCGGAACGACAACCAGATTAATAGCATGGAAATAAAATGACAAACCGAATACCTAAATAGTAGTTATGACAAAGATCGCGCATGCAACAGTTGCAGTTAAGGTTGCGAGTAACCCTGAGTGGGGTTCTAGCTATAGCTGCCCTACCTCCACCCCAGCTCTACCTACCATTTAACCTCCCCCTTAGCCCAAATCCCTGAACCTCTATACTTGTAGAATTTTAACAAAAAGAAATAACGTAAACAGCAAACCCCGTATGCTATTTCTTAGACCCTAAGTCCGGCCCCCAACTTGCCTTAAACCCTAGACCCCCAAACCCTAAACCTTAAAACCCTAAATCTTGAAACCCTAAACCCTGAACTCTAAACCCTAAACCCTAAACATCTAAACCTCTAAAACTATACCCTAAACCTTAAACCCCTAAACCCCGAAGCCTTAAACCCCTAAACCCTGAAGCCTAAACCCCTTCTTGCAACTGTGCAACCTGGGACGTGGCTTTCTCGAGCTCTGCTTTCAGCAGCTCTTCGAGCGGTTCCTGCAGCAAGCTTTAGGATTTAAGGGTTGAAGGAGGGTTTCAGGGTTTAGGGTTTACCTTAACTCTAAAAATGAACTAAGGACGACCCAGGTGCAGAGCCAGCAATGGCCGGCAGACCGTCCAGCAGAGCCATGAAGTCCGCATGGGTCGGGTATATGTTCAGCCCTTGGTCAGGGGGAAGAAGTACCAACCCCCCCATGAATAAGGCCTCAGGGGCGAATAATGGATAGGGTTTAGGGTTTAGGCTATAAGGTTACCTCCCACCTTCTAAGGGCTAGTAATGGTCCCCAATAGGGCGTAGCACGTGTCTAGGAAAGGTGCTCAAGGGGGCGTTGGTTGATTACTCCCATGACTTGGATATACCACAACTCAGAGGCTCTCGTGTAAGTCTAACTGGGCTGCAACCAGCATATCCACAGTCAAAAGTTAGGGTGCGTATAAATATTTGTATACACATATATATATATATATGTCGTTATACATTGAGATCCATACAAATACTCTGATGGTCTGTCGCGCACGTTGCTCAGCTTTCGCGCACGGCGTGCCGCGATCGCGTTTCTAGAGCCACATCTGTGATTTTCGTTCAAAAAGTTTTTTGACGAAATTCTCTGAAAAAGCGTAGAATCTACGTTAGCTATGGATCGTGTGAGAAATCCAAGAACCAATAGGTGGAGAACGTGTCGCGCACGTTTCTTAACTTTCGCGCACGGCTTGCCGCAATCGCGTTTCCAAATCCATTTTTTGGATGTTCGTTCAAAAAGTTGTTGGACAAAATTCTCTGAAAAGGTGTAGAAACTATGTTAGCTATGGATCCTGTGGGGAGAACCCTTAGAGATACTACCCCTGAACCTCCCAGAAGCAGCTGAAAACCACCTAGTGCTTACCAAACAGACAAACGCCAAGCGCATGGAGCCACGGATTGAAAGTCATCCCCTACAAAGCTACATATGACCCTACCCCTGTATAAGCCTATATACCCATATAACCTCCATATACCACAACGCCCAAACCCTAAACCCCTGTGAGGCCGCCACTGTTGAAAGTCCTCCTCTGATGAATCGCGAATAGGATACATAGCACGAAGGATGTCATGTACCTTGAGGAATACAGGAACAGAAAAGATAAATGGAAACTACCCTATTTCTTGGGAATTTAAATAAGGTCGATTAGAGTAATCAGTTCCCAGAATGGAAAATGGAAACTACCCACTTACTGTGGATTTGTTTATGTAGGAGCCATTACAGGAATCCATTGCTTTAGTCCCTACTAGCAGCCAGCGAGGTGCGCGGTGAGGATGAAGGAAGATTTCGCTGACATGTATCTCTGCTGCGTTTCATAGCCCTGATGAATAACCGTGCACAGCTCTCTTGGAGATTTGGGATCTTCTGTTCCAAGGGCCGAAAGGCTCCCATTGGTAAGGCAAATGAAGAGCACCTTGGATGGCAGGTTGGAGGTTATCTTAATAACAATGATAATAACAAAAGTACCCTAACATTACCCCATAGTAGTTTCATGTCATGATTAATTTGGTTGTCCATTTGATTTTCCATTTGATTCTCCGTTATCCCTGAATTCCTGCAGCTTAAGTTTCTTGCACCTACAGGCATGGTTTTGGCCTCCAGAAATTAGACGCGTGGCCCACAGGTGAGTCTTCTACACATGTCTGCTTTGCTGCCTTGACATACCCACTAGCCAAGGCAAGGGTCTGCAGTCAAGTACATCAAAAGTTGGGTACTGCCCCCCCCCC